TAAAAAAAATCTATCTGCGCGCCTCTGCCAAACGTTTCCGAACATCGCTGTGGACGAATCCATTTCGAACGGAAGGGGGAGGAGGGGGTGACGAGGTAAGAAATTGTTCCAGAGAAACACGTGTCGCCGTGTACTGTACATACTGTACGTCACATGGCGTGTCAGGGTTGTTCGTCCCCGCCCCCACGACACGGGTCACGTGCGCTTAGGGGTGGGGGCTCGCAAAAGAATCGATTCTTCTTTGGCACGATTAGAGAAACAGCAAAGTCGGAATCGATTCCTCTTGTGTTATTGTCGATATCGTTGGTAAAAATAAATATATATTTTCAGGCACCCTGCACGATCCATACTAATACTGTACTATCCATACTAACACTGTACTATCCATACTAACACTGTACTATCCATACTAACTCTGTACTATCCATACTAACACTGTACTATCCATACTAACTCTGCACTATCCATACTAACCTTGCACTATGCACATTATAGGCATGAAGTGCAAGCGCCATGTACAGGCGATCTTTTTTTAATGTATGCATTTTTATTCGGGGATCAACTCCAACGAAAATCCCTCCCATCATCTTACCAAATCCATGAGTAATCCTTACAACAAATTCCAGTTAAAGCCACAACATTCATCAGCCCCCCCCACCGTTACCATCGACCTAAACCTATTGCTACCCGCGTATTGGTCGACCACTGCCCCTGAGCTCATTTATCATGGCTCAAAATTGAGAACCCTCACACACACAGCGCATACATTTAGCAAAGTCACTTAACAAAAATCACCCTCGCTGGAAGACCAATGTCCATTTTGCAGGCCCCCTGGTCCTGCTGTGTACACCTTGTGCGGCGTACAGAGATGGTTGTCACTGGGGGTGGTTTCCCCTTGACGAAGGCTGCTGCAGGGAATTGAATGATGCGGTGTTTATTCGCCCGATCCAGAATTGAAATCCTTTTATCACTTCGTGTGACCGAAGTTTGATCCACGGCCATTTGGGTAGCTGGGGAAGGTGGAGACAATGATCATCATCCATCATGATCGATGAGATGGAGGTGTAAGATAAAGAGAGGTTGTAGAGAGTGGAGGTTAATGGTGATTGAGGAGGTGGTTACGTTGGAGGTGGTGTTATTGCAGGAGGTAAAAGCGAGGAAATGAGGAGAGTGGTTCTAGAAGTAGTAGTTCTGGTGAAGACAGAGACGGTGGTTATGGTGCGGAGATTCAGGAAGAAAAATTGGTTGAAGTGGTGATAAAGAGTTTGAGGTGGTGATGCTAGAGGTGGTTGTGGTGTAGAGGTGAAGGAAGCGAATGTGATTCATGATGTGATTAAGACGTCTGCTGTAACGTCACTCCAGGTGGCAGCTGAAGCCCCCTCACCAAGCGGCTGTGGACAAAAATAAGAGACAGGCCCATAGCAGAACCTGTACACACGGCAAATACAGCAACAGGCTTTTGGCCTGTGTAAGAGCTTTATAGATCATAGGATTTCTCCAGTATAATATTCTGGGAAATTAATATTGATTAAAACTCAGCAGTTGCATTCAAAACGTGAAAACTAAGTCTAATTTTAAATGGGCACGCATACCTAGGCTGGTTATATGCCCCACGCGTGTGAACGGATTACAAATGGGATTTTTTTTAAAAATGTTACGAGTGAACAAATGGCTGAGAATATATAGGGATTGGAGGCAGAGTGTGAACTCGATGTTTGATAATCACAGCTCAGTTGTGTAAAATGCCCCGAGTGAAATTATCCAATTAGTTCACCGATTTACACTGCAAACTAAGGGAAATATCCCTTCAGATAGATGTTGTTGTAGCCGACCAAAATACTGACAAAGCGGGCGAAACTCAGTTTAACACGGAGGCTTTCGCGACCAATATTATCCATAAGATTTCCACCTGAAGACGGAAGCTTGTGTTGCCTCCGAAACGTCGTGATTTAATTTAGTTTGCATTTATTTTATTTTACCTACGTGACTTTACCGAAAAAACCAAAGAGTATGAATCCTTGCAGTCACGAAAGCTTCAAATCTAGAATTATCCATAAGATGTTTTGGGGTATTTATATGCATCCATTAACCAACTTCCCCCCCTCTTGCCTTCGCACATGATTGCCTCTCAAGTGACGACATCACATTCATCCCAGCCCTGTCTATTTAAGACCGAAACAGGAGAATTTATCCACAACAATCTCGCTGTCGCCTGATGCTGCTGCTTGTTGTTGTAATTACTGGTGAAATGTCACGGTACTCGAATTGTAAATGTTGTAGTGTGTTTATTCTCCAACACACTGGCGCGCTGTACGAATAACGAATTGGCACGCTTCGTCTACGTGACAAACCTTACCAATTGGCTGTGTCGGGTGGCGGCGGGTTTAACGACATTTATATTTGCACGGTCTAACCACAAACTCGTACATCACGTTGATAATTTGCCCCAATGTTGATGGAAATTTTTTTTTAGCAAACAGTTGGGACAGAAAGAGACATTTCTGAGAAGCAGAATCTTTTATTTATTCTGGAGAAATCCGATGAGCTATGAAGCTCTTTTTCACAGACGCATGAATCAGGCTGGTGTATAACGCACCTAATAAGTTAAGTGTATAAGCCCTCTTTCTCAACCCACTGCTGAATGAAACCCTTCCCATACTTTAAGCAGTCGTGGAGAATCTGACCATACTTCACCACACTGGTCAGTGTAGGTTGTGGACGTGAGAGTAGCAGGGCACCGCTCCCCCGAACACTGTCTTGTATTACACAATGGGTCAATGCTTTGCCAAAATAGGCGGCGGCCTAAGCCCCTGTTCGCGTGACTCGAAGCTCCGTGTTTTTTGGTTAAAACTTGAAATCACTTTCGACCGAGGAACTTGCACCAAAAAAAAATCAGTATTTGGAACGCCATAAATCTACGACTCGCGTCAAGGGCCTCTGCATTAAAACCTACCGTACCTCATGGTAGGCACGCTCCTTTTATCTCTAAAGTAACATACATTACAAAATTGGGTGTTTTATGTTAAGTAATGTGACGCATTGGATTGCAAAAAAATGCCCGTCCCGTTTTTTGCAATCCACTGCTGGATGAGGATCTCTGCCTGTGTGGATCACGGGAGCTGTGACCATACTTCACCGCGCCAATCAGTGAGGGATGGTTGAAAGGCGGGGGCAGTCGAATTATTGTAGAATCACAGTATAATCATTAATGTTGCTGCACTGCTCTGTGGCCCAGCACACATCTCTGCAGCCTATAACATCCATTATCCGAGCACTATTCAGCTCAAACCTTAGCTTCCGGAATCGGTTAAATTCTTGATTTGGTCAGAAGCACGTAGTAATGTGCATCGATTAAAAAAAACCACACCTTATCAAATGTTTATCCCCATGCTCAAGTCGCACACACTCGGTGTCAGTAAACACTTCCCTGCACATCTCTGCAGAGAGTGGTGCAATTTCTTTCTGTCGCAAATGACGATCGCTCAGTTGTAACTAAGTGGGAGAGAGGGTTCCCTAACCGCGAGTTCACTTGGTTCAAATCCACACCAAGGTCCACTCGACCTAACTAACCATTGTCCCTCCAATGTGAGTAAACGAAAAACCTCTTAATGAAGACTCACCGCCACTTGCAAACTGACGTGGTACTACGGCTAAAACTCAGGCTCTGCCGCCTTAAGACTCGCATTTGCTCCACCAGTACAGGGTCAGTCTAGATTAATAAATAATTGTGACAGTGCGTTGATAGCGACGCATAAGCACAAATAATAACTCAAAATGTTTCTAGAACACTGCGACTTTTCGGGCAATGATCCTTCTGAAAAGCAGAGAAAGTCCAATGCCTAAACTACTAATCTTACCATTTAAGGCAGTATTATATTGTCAAATGCTTCAACGGCGGCGATTATCACTAACGAACATTCGTTGCAAGCAATAGGACAGGGCTATGATGGGGAGGCTTTGAAGTCGAACGTTAAGTTGGTAGAACCTTTTAAACATCTCTTGTTAATGGCCATTGCTTGCATTTGTACAGCAGTACACGTTCGTATTAAAGACCCCCTGTTTTAATAGTTCATGCCAAAAAACTAACACAAGTAGTCTATAAGGAAGGCTTCAAATAAAATTAATAAGTAACTACTTACACCCACGCGTGCTATAGGAGCAGACAGGAATGCAGCCCGGTCAGACCCAAAACTCCCCCAACCCACACAGCCCCTCACTCCCAAGCGCTCGCAGTCACCCAACACTGAGCGTCCCGCGCCCGCCGCATACCTGACACGCAAACACACACGGCATAGCCACCACCACGGGAACACTGCTCCACGACCGCAGCGATTCATTACTGAGGGGGGGGGGGGGTGGCAGTTTTAAAAGGAACAAACCCACTTTGGCAGCGGACGAAATCCGACACAGGGTCCTGAGCAAGCGAGGCGGCGTCGTGATGTGCGGTTACCGACGGGACTTGCGCACAGTGAAGCTGACCCAAGCCATTCTTAAGATTATTTAACCGACCAGGTTAACCCAAAGGTTGACCCAAACCCGCAGAGGTGATTGAGGCTCCAAGGTTGACCCACACCGCTGCAATGACCCGAGAAAGACCTAGGCTGCTTGGTTGACACAGACTGCCAGGCTGACTGACCGCTAGGCTTCCAAGCTGACTACAGCTGCCACGTTAACCCAAAGGCTGACCCGGAATGCTGGGTTAACGTAGGTTGTTGGGTACATCCAGACTGTTGGGCTGGCCCGAGTTTCGCCCAGGTTGAAAAGCTCACCGAGGCTAATGGGTTGAGTGCATACTGACCTACACTTCCAAACTTTCTTCAGCTACCAAACTGAGTCAAAGTTACAAGGTTGACCAAAGGCTGACCTTCGCTGCCAGGCTGAGGCTGCCTGGAAGACACACAAGCTCCGGCATTTGTTTTTTAAAGCTGTGGCGAGTGAGTCCGCTTGCTCGCCTACAAAGGTTACATCACGAGAGACATTCATCACGCTGGGAGGCCGAGTGTGGTCCACGGGGCAGCCAGTTACCGTGCGGTTCTGTTAGGGCATGTGTTGCGTTTTATTGTTTGTTTGCACACACAGTACAAGACAGGTCTCCCCCCCACCCCGCACAAGCCACCCGCCTCCAATCACACTCGTAAAGCGCGAAGGGATCTGGGAGCTGGAACAAAAAAAACCTCATTTCTCCGAAAAATACGAGACCCGGTGTGGAATTTCAATTCGAAGTGGTGGGAGAATTAAGACTATAGCGTGTAAGCTTGAATCAGACTCGTGTGGAATTCCGATGAGACTGGTGTGGGATTCAAAACCAGACTAACTCCGAGACTCTGGTAAGAGTTGGGGTCGGAACACCATCACTACAATGAGTTTAAACTCACACGCGATTACCGCAACTCAAATTGTTCAAAAGAGAGTCCACGTGCGATGACTGCGTTCCATGCGGTTAACCACTACCCTGGCCGTCTCTTTTTACGGATAGTGAGGTTTCCTTGCATTACAGCACCATAGTACGTAGTGATCACACCAACTTCACAACCTACCACTGTTCACCTTTAAAAGCACGAAACGAAAAAGATCAACACTAGAAATGCTGCCCAAGGTCTCATTACGCCGCCGATCGTGCGATCGCGTAGCCAACCGCAGAGTTCCAACTACCGCGGGAGTGCAAATCTACAACTAAATGCACTTTAGACGCAAACACACGCACGACGACTGCATTCTTCAATCCCAACCCCCCGCCCCCCCCACCCCCTTGGGGCCTGTGCCAATTACCTTCTCTGTGGGATTTGTTGAAACTTTTTCCTAAACATGCATTTCCTCTTTTAAGCAAACCCTCGGAAACAAAAAAACAGAAATGTACAAAGTTCGCGAAGCACGGTGCGGCGTGACCTCCGCCACCCTCGCTATCGCTGAGTTTGTTGCCTGGCGCTTCCTGCTCGCGAGATCCCCCTGAAGTACCTGGGACACTGTCAAACAGTGCTCTCTAAAACCGTACAAACGAGTTTCATCTCTCTAAGCCGAATATACGTACAAAAACAAAACTCAAGAATACGTGGGCAAAAAAAAAGATCATCGACCAGTGCGGCGCGAGATTATACAGGTGGACGAGCTAAAACAACAATAATAACCCTAAGACCCGGATAGATCCGTGTAAACCCTACATCACCACCTGTGAGTGTTTTTTTCGCGCTTGACGTTGCCGTGCTTCACCGGGGGAGCCAGTCCATTCCTCCCCGTGCGTTACAGCCGCGGGACGCCGAGCGACGGCGGGCCAAAACCGGGACGGGCGTTACTGAAAGGGAAAATTATTTTTTTCAAGTAAAAAAAAATCATGGTGACGACGGTGGAACGTGCACGGGCATTGGGGCAAAGTATGCAGCAGGGCTCTGTCGAGGCAGGCGGGTGAAACCGGAGCGGCTGGTTTCCGTGCCCCTTGTCACCGCCTTTTCGGCCACCGGCTGTCGTGCATGGAAGCGTGTGCGGTTAGTGTTACAGCATGCGCACGTCGGCAGCGGCACGACACGGTCTTGCCTCACAAAGGGGACAATGGCATCCGCGTCCTGGCGTCCTCGGCCCCCACTTGGCTGACCGTTCAGACTGCCCCCCCCCCACCGCCCCCCTCAGCAACGTCCCAATGGACCACGGCCTGCTGGCAGCCGCTCCCCAGGACAACCGCAGGCAATCTGCAATGCCTGCGCCGCCGCACGCTCCTCCTTGCTCTCCTGCAGGGCCTGGTTCACTCTAAAGGAAAGCCTCGCTCTGCCGCGGTTTCCTCAAGCGCCGCGGCACGGCTTATCTGATAGGGCCGTGAAGCGTCTACACGTTTCTGGAATTTGCCAGGGGGTGTTGCCTAGGCGACGGTGGAGGGCGGGTGAATTTGTCAGATGGCGGTGCTGTCGAGTTGCGTCGTTCTGGTGCGGCGTGGGGGGGGAGCCTCGCGAATGCAGATGGGACAACCACTTTCGTTGTCTCAGGCGGAGGGGGCCCCCCCCGGGGCTCCCCCGGGGCCCCCCCCCCCCCCCGCAAGGCGACGACAGTACACGAGGCCACCCCTTGCCGCCAATTTGCCCATCCCCCCACCCCCCCCCCGCTTTGTCAATTGGCACCAATTTGGAACTTTCGTTCTTTAAAAAATTTTCAAAACGAAAAATATATGTGTTTATGTACAGCATAGATATATTTATTTTTTCATATTTTATAAAAACGTTCCACTTACGGGCTTAGTGGGCGGCTCAGTGGAATTATCATCATTGGAGAGGTGTTCTTCTTCGAAATAGTGCCCCTGCCACTGCGTACTCGGGTAAAACTCGGTCATCTCCCACAGGGCTCCTCCTTTACGTTGCCGTCAATCCATAAACAAAGACGGAAGGGACGGCATACTAGAAGCACACTAGACCTGCTCTAAATGTGATGTTGGCATAAACAATAATACACACACGTAGTTTAAAAATGAGCAACAAATGAAAGACACATGACGGGCAGAACAGCAAACCTAACCACCAATGTTTTTTTCCCTCTCGACGGCGAACGCAATCCACCGCACGGCCGCCGTCGCCATCACGGGTCGCGCTCCTTTTTGACGCGAACGTCGCCGGCCAGGATGGTGCCGATCTCCCCTTGCATGAAGGCCCACGGCACGGTCGAGCCCACCAGGGGACACTTCTCCCCGCTGGGGCAGTACACCTCGCCGCCCGCGCCCTGCGCCTTGATGCTCTCGCGCGAGCACGGGAAGCAGAAGCGGTGCGACGCCACCGAGGGGCACTGCACAAAGTGCGTGTCCTCCAGCCGCTCGCGGCACAGCGTGCAGCACAGCGGCGACGCCGCGCCCGCCCCCGCCAGCGCCACGCTCATGCCCACGCCCGCCTGCGAGTCCGGGATCTGCTGCCCGCTGGAGTTCAGCAGGCCCTGGTCGCCGCCGCCGCCGCCGCCGCCGCTACGCGCGCGCAGCTCGCTCGGCGAGCCGCCCCCACCGCCACCGCCGTCGTGGTGGCCGTTGCTGTTGCGGCGCGAGCTGGTCGAGTGCACCTGCGGGATGCCGTTATCTTTCGGCGATTGCGTTCCGCCGCCGCCGCCGCCGCCGCTGTTGGCGTGGCCGGCGTTGGTGCTGCTGCTGGCAAGGTTGTCGGTGGCCGAGATGAGGGCCGCCATCGGGGAGGGCCCCGAGGGTGGCGGGTAGGCCACGGTGAGCCGCATGCCGTGGTCGGGCGGCGCGTGGAGCCAGTGCGCGTGCTGCGCCGACAGGCGGAGGCCGCCGCCGCCGCCCCCCGACTCGTCGTGCTTCGAGGGGTCCGGCGTTGGATCCGGGGACACACGGCGCTTACGGGAGAGGCGTGACCCTGTGGGCAACGACACACAAACGACACGCGAGGCAACGAGTGTCAGAGGGCAAGCACGGCACGTGGGCGCGCGCGCCAGCGGCACAGCATGGCTCAATGGGCATTTGGCACAGTTGCACAGACAGAAGCGTGCATAAAACAACACACACACACACAATAGTATAGTTGTCACGACAGCCAGTAATAGAATGTACCAGTGAACAGTACACGTGTGGATGACCATAATTATAATATTTCCATTTGGGGCGCATGACAACAATGAACCACCGAGTCATCAATCATCTCTTCGAGGTTTACAGAATGTTGAAGGCAATAGCCCACCAAATATTTGTACCGTTGCTTATTCGAGATTGGTTTCCCTGCCCCCCTCCGCCAAGGGACACGACTGCGAAAAGAAAATCTCAAACGTATTTTATTTCTAGTTCAACAGCCGCTAAAATGAGACCTTCCCCACCCGCATTGCAGCCTGCCCCAGCCCTGCTTTAGTAACCGACGATGCAGCCTAGGGGACGTTGCTGCCTGCCCAGCATCTGAGACGTGACTGGCGAGCGAATCATTCACGTCGTGGGGCAACGCGCCCGCTCGCCGCCGCCACTGACAGACACATCCCCCCCCCCCACACGTCACGATTAGCATGCCAACAAACGCACAACCTTTGTGTGCAGCCCAGGTTTTGTGTTTCCCCTTTTCAGCCCAACGAGCTCTTTTTGCTCCGCGTCTACGCACTCGTGCAACTGCAACGGAACGACTGCCGTCAACACGTCCACTTAGACAACTGCTACGTTAATTTATAATGCAGTCAGTAAAATTCAAAACGAGCCGTGAAATAATTCATCGCCGCAGTGGGTTCAATTAATTCTTGCTATTCGTAGTGATTCAATGCAAGAATCCAATTATTCTTTTGTCTCGTTTTTTTGGTCTTGTGCAAGTCTCTCATTTCTTGTCAAGTTATTCCAGTTCAATTGCACTACTACCGTTTAAGTAACCTCAGCATCTAATATCCAAATAACTTGCTTGAATCGCACCATTCCAACGCATTACTCATGAATGTGGAAATCATGGTAAACAATCGTGCCTATTTAAAGCGAGGTAAACAAATTTTCTAATGAACACAGAAACTGCAAGCCTGCTCTTACACTGATAAGTGTTTTAAACAGAATGACAATGCAAGTTTAACACCATTGGTTGTACAGTACAATGGTCTTTCACACCCATTACCTCTCGCTTTTACCTTATCTACATTAACTACAAGGTGCACAATGTCGCCAGGAATTGGAACACGTGAATAATATAATTCACCATCTCCTGCAAACTTGAGGTTACTTGACCGAGACTCGCACAGCTGGGTTCACTTTTGAGCAACTCGTTAAAAGACGCAGGTCCCACGCCACATGCTAATGGAGATAACCTCCTCGGCCTTGCTGGATGTCCATCAAAATATTATGACCACTCGGCAAGTTTCAAGCTGGGCCTTCCTCTGTTCCCAGTTAAGTCCCCCCCCCCTCCCCCGTTTTTTATTTAAAATTACTCTTCTTCGACCAAAAAAACCTGCAGTCTGATAATAAAACATTTATATTCACTGCCGATTAGTAAGCATTTGACATAATCCAGCCACCTCCACAATTAGATGAAATACCACCATTTGTTATCACGATTCATTTCTATTAAATTATTCTCTTTTGCCACGATGAAGCATGCAGTTACTGTAAACTTTTAATAAACTTGGGGGGTATCCGTGAACCAGCCACATAGAGTATAAATATAGATTGTAAATATAGCAAAAATAAAACTTAACTCACGTACACACGTATTGTGAGCATTAAATAATATTGAGTAATTGAACTGTTACACACTCATTAGTAAAGTCACGTGGCTGATTTTCAAACTATACTTTGCAAACTAATCTTTGGCCTCCCAAATAGTACGTGTAAAATACATACATTTTAACTCCTGAAAATGAGAAAGCTGTGGCGCAGTGTTTAGCACATGAACTCGGCAACCTGAGTTTGATAATAACCAGACAAGGCCAATATCAGTGACAAGTGATATCTAAACAGATCCTAGTCTCCCCTACCCCTTGACTAATCCTCACTGACCAGTTTGGTGAAGTATGGTCAAACAATCTCCATGACCGACATGTGTGAAGGCCTTCATCCAGCAGTCAATTGACGCAGCAGCGTGCGTTATAGTAACGAATTAATATTTCACAGTGAAACATTGACTCAGGCCTAAGGGGTGGAGATTGTAGGAATCTGTAGCTGAAATTAACAGCTCTGTACTATGGCTGGGATTCAAAGAAAGGATAATTAACATTTTAAAAAGCATCAGCATAGAGATTAAAATGTTATGGTAAGCCCCGCGAGACTGCCAATGGACCTTAACCTTTGCCTGGAGGCTGCAAAATACAGCAGGCGGTTTAGTGCACGTCAATTATTCACAGGAGCGTAAACAGATATCTGTGGAATCAGTGCAGAGCAGGAACTGCCCATTTATTGCTTTGAGTGTCGTTAAGTATCACAGTCCAAAGCAGGCAATGAGACGCACACAAAAGTGGACAAAATCGAACGTAAACAAATTCAATGTGAAAATATATACAGAAACGTAAGGCCAATGTATAAATAACAATAGTTGTGGAGAACGTTCATAAAAAAAATCCTCTCCACGTAAACCTATTTTGTTTTACGCAATCCATTGGACGCATGTCCTTTCGGGAGTGCATCTTATCAGCAACATGTATACATTTACATTTAAAGGAGCTGCACAAGCTCTTGAAACGTAATTTATTTCCACCTCGATGTTATTGACATAACATCCAACACAGCCGACGAGACCATAGCCTGTCTCTACATGTGGACCTCAAGGTGAGATGGCGTCAAATAAATCAGGTGGCGGCCGCATGGTTTGGGCGGCGAGGGGGGGATGTGGACATCTTGCATCACCCGGTACAGTGACCATGACGTCAAACAGACCTCCGTGACATCACCGCCCACCCCCACCGCCACGCCACTGCACTTTAGCCTACTGTAGTAGCCCCCATTCGCGACATCGCTCGCTTCTCTTCCCCTCCCCACCACTGACGCTGGGCGTTATGAAACTCCAACCCAACCGGCCATGCGTGTAAAATGGTGCCAAGTTAGCACACGCGCGCGCGCACACACACACACGCAGCATTGTGTTTATTCACCTCTGCCACACACATGAAGAGGAAAAAACTGTACACACAAGAGAAACCGAGCAAGGAAGCCTCCATTTTGGAACTGTTTTTTTTCCAACCCAACATTTTTTCTGTTAAATTGTGGCCCACTAACAAGACACGGTCCCCGTGTCTTGGTCGGTGTCAAAGGACATTTTTTTAAGGCACACGGACGTAAATGCCACAACAGCCTAAAAAACCGTATTTCCGAACCCTAGTCTGTATATTTCCATGACCTTTGACAAGTCTAAAGTGTGACCAACTTCCTGTATACTGTGGGCGACTCCCTGTCCAAATTGTATTCCCTGGAAAGGGAATACAGTACACGTTGCGAGTACTCGTGGGCTGTGTACAGTACAGTCTTTTACCCGTCATTAACAACCGCACTGCTGAGAGTTCACACGTTTTGGGCAAACACAAAAAAAGCCCCGTTCTCACAAAGGGGGCGGAGAGCGAGAAGGCAACTGCGGCGTTCACCCTTGGGAAGAAAAAAACTCCACCATGGAGCAGCATCAGCAGCAACGCTGGCAATAATGGCTTCAGCATGCTGCTGCTATCGTCTGTCCCATCAGCTTAAAGCGCGCGCTTTCACAATCCTCCTTCCTTCCCTCCGCGATTAAATGCCCCCAATAAGCCTCGCGCTATTACTGTACGTGCTGCTGTGTGCATTTTTGCGGGCAGCTCACGTGGGGGGGGGACATGGGTGGGGGTTGGTTGGTGGTTGCTTGCACAGCGCCGTGTGGGTGATGGGCACAACAACGCCGCCCTGGCGCTTCTACGTTATCACTCGCGACCAGTTTTAACCCACCGCATTCGATGCATTACAACTCATCCATTATCGGGAATGTTCACAATTCTCGCATAAAATATAAATATACGGTACATGAGGGCTCTTTCCATTCCGTCATTCAGCTGTGCCAGCATCCTTTTTGAAGAAAAACCGGCAGTCGCGTGCAATATTTATAGAAGCCTACGTCACTCCGGCGCTGCCACATATCCTGGGTTTTATAATGGAAAAGCAACCCCAGGGAGAAGGGGGGGGGGAATACTCGGCATTGAAGGACGATGTCACGTCGACAGCGGCCGTGCCGTTCCACACTGGGTTCCAAAGCAGAGAAACTGTCCATGATTCACAAGCAGCGCGCGCGCACACACACACACAAGACAAAGAGACTACTCTCACGGTATAGCCGACACATTGCAGGGGCAAGTGCCGTTGGCGAGCACCTATTAGGGGTGCATACAATAGGGTGGTAACCAGGAGCGGGCTGCCCTCAGTGCTGATGTTTACACGCCACACCAAGTACTCATTTAGGGTTGGTGGTTAGTGCACTAACCACTGGTGCCCACCACTTAAATATCACAGGCACCCCACACGCATGACAGGCGATGGCGGGCACCACCCCCATTAAACACATCGTTGGCACTAAAAGGCATCATGGCCAAATAACTGCACATATCATGGGCAACAAGTGATACAGGAGTTCTATATATATCATGGGGAACAAGTGATATAGAACGGGGGTTCTGTTTCACATGGGATGCCAAACCACATCACAAGACACTAACACATCACAGGCACCACAGCAGCATCAGAAGCATCATCATAATTCACCACACTAGTGTTTTGGCAACACTAAACACCAAAAAAAACTGCTCACCATTGCCACACAATGCATAACACGGCAAACCACATGAATCCCCCTGAACTTAAAACATTAGCAGAACACACCTAGGCGGTGTTCCCACTCCGAACGAAACACCACTTTACACACCAGACGCATTAATGGGTACACCAACTATCAAACTATTTGCAGGATCTAGTGTCATCATGGCCCAAAGCTGTCGATGCCATCACACCTAGGCAATGCTCAATAACCTCTCTGCCAAGAACCGGATCTGTGTTATCCTGTAGGCAACGTGGCTTGTCCAACATCTGCCCTAACAGTATCCCACGCAACACTTGGTGGTTTAAGGTCTTTCCCTCGGTCGCCTGACCCGTGGAGACCATTATAATTCCTGCCTCCGGCCTCTGCACACGTCATACTCCGTGCAACCGTGTTTGCCTCATCGCATCTCTCACAGGAACGAACACCACATTCGGTCCATTTTATACCGAGCTATACATTTTTAAAAGGCATATGTCTTAATACATCACTTGGGAGAAAAAAATACATGCACTGAACGACAAGAGACGAGGAAGACTGAAACGAAAAATATTTCCGATCTTGTAGATACGAGCTTGAAAAAGTAAGGAGAAATAAGACTTTAACGTTATGTTGAAGCCCACCATAACAGTGGCGCTGCAATCTATTCTATTCTGGTTCAGGAGCTACACATTCTTCTTGTTCAGGAGCTAAGTGCCAATGTGAAGGTCTGCTATTGCCACGAGAGGGCTTCAGGAGAGAGTTCCGAGTAGTTTTGTTATTCCTCCTCCTCCATTAAAGCAAAGACGATAGTGGTTTGCTACATGGTCCATAATTTGGGTTGCATGGCCACAATCGCACTGTGGATTCTAGGATGGTGACGAGCAACGCAATCCCCACGCAGGGGATGGGGGAGACTTGAGTCGACGCCGAGGGACGCTGTCGAGATGTATTGGTTAATGGGGTAGGCAGGCTGTCGTTGGCAAGAAGCCGTGTAAACTACCTTTCATGTCTCCGCGGTAATTTGGTGGCAGAATGTTCGCCCAAACGCGGAGCCAGGGGATTGGTGTCGGTTTCAGTCTTCCGGATATGATGCGCATTGCATTAACACGTACGGCGTTCCATTGCAGTGATATCACCAGAGCGCTATAATGGAACTCTTGAAGCATAACTTTCAAGTACTGTATTTCCTTCTGTTGAGCAATGCTGTAAACTTGTATCGGACGGCCCAAGACACGCAGCATTTGCAAGACGATAGCCTACTATATCCAAATTGATATTCGTTTGTCTTCCTTTATCATATACTGTATATACTTCTGCAACACTTTAGAGGAAACAACTACAGTACCTTGAAGGAGCAGGTGACATGGTACCACCTTGAATTCTTATCAAGTGGCGGAGACTACTGTCCCTAACAGATATGTGATGAAGATCTAAGGTACGGACCATTCCTACACCACACACCCTAAGCATAAACCCTTTCCTAAGCGTGACCTGTAAATCTTGACCTAGACGAAACTCAAGGAACGTCGTCCATTACCGTTTCATCAACTAAAAACACACGACCCACGATCAGACGAAAATCTGGTCTATTATTGTAGAAAGATCTGCAGGAACAAGTGCCAGACACTGTTTATTTATCTGCCTACTGTCACTTCCTCGTACACCTTATAGGGGCCTCTCACACAAATACAAAGATCCCCCGGATAAACTTTAACTTTAATAGACTGTTGGGGCAAGTGCTGTTAGCGAGTAGCACCTATTAAGGCCCGAACGGCACACGAGGGGTTGGGGTGGCCAGAACCACGCCCAGCCGCCTTTGTTTCCCCAGTACAACGTTTACACATCGCACTAAGTACTAATTTGAGGCTGAGTCGACCTAGGAGAGGCCGCACTAGGTACTCATTTGAGGCTGCGTCGACATAGGGGAGGGTCCTGGACCGGTTCGGATAATTGCCGCTGGTACTGTGAGCGGGAATCAAACTCGGCTAGAAGGGGTTCGAAGCGCAGCGAGCGAACCCTGACACTACCACGCACACCTCATCAATACCCGGCCATTCCCCACTAAGTGACGTTACCACAGCGCCTGTGCCAGGCCTGGTGCACTTTGAGGCCACGTGAAGTGTCTAAGGGTCTCCTCTCACCCAGTACAATACACACACACACACACCTTGCAATGGTATGTAATCCCCTACCACAACACACACCTTGTGGGAAACCATGGCACCATAGAGAAAACAATACACTGTACACAATTTGCGCTGCAGGGGATGCCTCAAACACGCCTCGCACGGCCATGTGACATTCAAAGACAAACACCCCCGTATAGCCTTAACAAACTGTTGGGGCAAGTGCGATTAGCGAGTAGCACCTATGAAGACCGGCACGGCAACGAGGGGGTGGGTGGCCAACACCACGCCCGGCCGCCTTTGTCTCCCGAGTGGCGATGTTTACACACCAAACCAGGTACTTATTTGAGGCTGAGTCGACCTAGGGGAGGCCCAGGACCGGTTCAGATAATCGTCACTGGTGTTGGCTGTGAGCGGGAATCGAACCCGGTCACCAGGTTCATAGCGCGGCGCGCTAACCGCTACACTATCGCTCTCCCCACAATATATGTACCGGTACACTTGACTCGAGTGTGTAATAAAAACGGAACACACCTTTACATCAGCACGTAACATAGAGGCAGATGCCCCGTGTAGCCATAACAGACTATTTGGTCAAGTGCTGTCAGCGAGCACCGATGAAGGCCAGCACCTCGCCCGGCCGCCTTTGTCTCCCCACACATTACACACACACTTCAAACAAGTCACACAAACTCTCCACACCTTGCACGAACTTCTAACACACACGCATCTTTAGAAAACAGAACACTACACACATTGGGGCACTCTTATACAACCTTGCAGGATCGTCTGACACACACACACAACACCCTACGCAGTCTGCACCTTGCAAGAGCGAGCTGCCCGCGTGTCCCACGGTGCCCGCGCTGACCCCAGCCGTCCGCCCGCGCTGCTGCCCCAGCGTGGGGCTGTGCCGGCTCAGCTCGGGCGGCTCGTCCTTGCCGTGCGCGCCGCCGTGGCCCCCGTGGACCCCGTGGCCGTTGCCGAAGAAAATCCTCGCCGCCGCCGCGGCCGCCGCCGCGGCCGAATGAGGCGAGGCCGCGCCGACACCGGGAGGCCCGCCGCCCGATCCGCCGACCGACCCCGACCCGCCCCCGCCGGGCCCGTAGCCGCCGCCGCCACCGCCGCCGTCCTTGGGCTGCTTGTTGTGAGCGGAGGCGGCCGCTGCGGGCCCGTTGGCCCCGCGTTTCATGGCGCGGGTGGCCTCGATGACCAACTCGATGCGGTCGGCGCCCTCGTAGTTGACGCAGCCGCGGCACACGGCCTCCGAGAAGTCCCACAGCATGGCCCACGGCATGCGCGGCAGGTCGCACAGGTAGCACGACTGGCGGCGTGACTGCGCCGACATCTTCCCTGCCTTCCCACCCCCCCCTTCCTCCTCCTCCTCTTCCTCGTCTCCTCTCGCCTGCGCACGCAGTCGCAAACACGCGGCGGTGGTGACCCCGAGGGGATGGCCTCGCGAGAGAAGCAGTCGTGCGCGGTTTCCCAAAACACTCGCGTGGCACTCGCACAGACCTTGCTTTTGTGTGTGTTGTGTTATATGGCGGTCGTTCGCGGAAGTGTCTGCAGACGATCTTACACTTTAGACTTTAAACTAGACTTTTTAACGTTCGTTGTACGTCGTCTCGTTTGACCGAGGAAGAGGCGTCGTAGTCCGCACGTCTTTATCGAACGTTCGGTCAGTGGGGGGGGGGGTTCAGATATGTTGACTGCTGCTGCTGTGCAATATACTGTACCGTGATTTGCAGTCGTACTGTATTACGTGCAATATTTACACAATGGAATAGCACAAAAGACAAAGATCCTCCCCCCGTATATAGCTTTAACCGATTGTAAGGGAAAGTGTTGACACTGATGAAGGCCGGCACGGCACACGAGGGGGTAGATGGCCAGCACCACGCCCGGCCGCCTTCGTCTCCCCAGGTGCGATGTTTACACACCGCACCAGGTACTCATTTGAGGCTGAGTCGACCTCGGGGAGGCCCAGGACCGGTTCAGATAATCGTTACTGGTGTTGGCCGTGAGCGAGAATCGAACTCGGGTCGCCGGGTTCGTAGCGCAGCGTAGCGCTAACCGCGACACGACTGCTCCCCACAATATTTACACATAAATGGAATAACACACACACAATGCATACATCACATACCCTACAGACATTGGACCACGCCACACTGGTTTACGCCCTGCCATGAACTCGGCAACCCGTGTTAGAATTCCGGCCACGGCTAACATCAGTAGCAAGTGACGATATATGAACCGGTCCTGTTTCTCACAGTGCACCAAACCCGCATGAACCATCGTCGGTAAGTACAGTACGGTTCAAACGACCTCTGATCGATACGGCACGGGGGGGTGGGGGGATACGAGGTGTACATTCAGCAGCGGAAAGACAAAAAGGCTGTAAATAATAGTAAACCCGCAATGAACATCGAGGTTAAGCATGGTCAAAGACACCCCCACCGGCGTGTACCATAACGATGTGGAATGTAATGCCTACTATAATCACCCAGGAATGTCTGTCCTTAACGCTCGTGACGTCACATCGACCAGCACCCCTCATTAATATTCATGAGCAGGTGTCGTCCTCCAAATGGACCCCCCCCCTTCATAATAATTAGCGGCTGACAAATGGGGGGCCGAGGCGCCTCTCCCCCCCTCCTCGGCGTCAACTCACAACCCTCACTACAAAAGCAGAACCCTCACGTCACGTGATCTCCGTAACGCTGTTGTTGAGACATCAAAGTAAAAAGGACGTCATGATGAACAAGGGATTATAACCTTAAGATGAAATAAAGTCTGTGTCACCGCGGCCTTACAAATTGCACACGCATTGATGCAATGAATATATCACGTCGCGGTCTGATTTTCGCTTGCAAATTTAAGATTTACTGCAATACACCCGTCCTTGGACGGGCAAAAGGTTAGTCCTATATAAATGCAACGTAATCACCCGAAACAATACACTCCAATGACATACTATAGTGCACACCATACTATAGACTGGCATTGAATACGCTAGCGTGCAAGGCAATAGTAATTATATACTCTAGTATAGAAGAGTATGTAGAGTTTGCAGCCTGACATAATACAATTAAATATTATCAATGATATAATATTTAGCAGCAGTACTGTATAGTACACACACACATTAAAGTAATTGTCAAGAATACCATGCAATACGATGCACCCAATAGCTGTACTATTTAATATTGTACAATGCAACCCCATACGCAAACATTTATATCATGGGACATGCATGTGTAAGACGTGCAAAAGCAGCATTCCAAGCAATACAATACACAGCAACGTATTACAACATCAAAACACAGCAATGCAATACTTATGATACCATGCAATAAGTATTACATACACCGTGCTGTATTGCAATACAACGTACTGTATTGCAATACAACGTACTGCATTGCAATACAACGTACTGCATTGCAATACAATATATTTTAATAAAATATGATGCAATACCATATTGTCAAGCAAGAGTTTGCAAGACGACAGTGTAGTGCACCTCCGATTAGCACGTACGGTGCGAAAGAATTTCATACGTCATGCAGTCTTTCGGAATACCATAGAATGTCATACAGGAATGCAATATAATTTTACAGGGTGCTAATACGCAGCTGTTTATGCCAATAAAACACTGTGACAGAATAACATAAACACACACAATGTAACGCTATGGGATATACCGTAGTTATAGAATGTCGTTCCGTCATAGCCTGGAACTATAGAATACACACAGTACACGCCATGCATTCGCATCCAACACAATACACAGCGTTGCGATGTAGCAACACTACTCATACGCAGTATAATACAATATTATATAAGAGATACAAATGTACGTCAATGCAATACTAGAAGATTGCATACGCATGTATTTTTTAACAGTATTCATTGCAATACGTAGTAGACCCCTCTCTACCTTACAACATACGATGCGACAAAAACACAACACAATTGGGGACGTGGAAACAGCATCAATGATTGATATCGACTTACATAAATTGTACTCTGTGGTCAAGTGTAGAGAATTGTAAATGATTCCAACACAAACTTACAATCGCGTCAAACTTCTCGGCCATAAACATCTTTGATTACTCCCCTAACGTTGTTTTTATAACGCCGGGAAACCCTCAAGGTGTGAATGATCACTCCTCCTCAGTTGACCAATTGTTAAACATTATCGTTAGTTTGTACAAGGCTGGCACAGTCGGGAGAGGGCAATTATTTTTAATTCCCGCTCACTCTCTCTTCATGAAGAATTAACAAGTAAAAAAAACTAATCCTTTCGCTGAAATGGAACAACCTATAGTTAACATTGCATTATTATTACGAATTTTACCGCGATCAACTACTGTACTGTTTATTTCCGTTATATTCACCCGCACTAAATCATTTGCTCACTATTCGCGCCAGAAGAAAAAAAAACATTAAATATTTTTTTAAAAATTAACGATTGATATTTAAACGACTTGTTTGCATGCGGTACTCAAGACGTACAAACCGGTGGAACGTAGTTTTTTTTCCAATCTTTCTTTAAAAAAAACAGCTAAAACGTCAACACAAAACAGCTGCAAAGTTACGTTCACGTACGAAGGCGCCATCGGTTCTCGAATGTCGTACGATACTGAACACAAAGGAGACGTAACGCCTAGTGTATATTAATTACACCACCACACATACTTTTGGCGCAACTTAAAACAACAGTTGTCGAGTTCGATCGCTGTCGAGGGCTCACCCGATTAAAAAAAAAATTTGCACGGCAACCTTTCGTTTGAAACGCAAACGACGAGCCGCCGATGAACGACCACCGTTGTGGCGTACACGGTACGGTGCGAAAGAAGTCCGACACACGCGCGCATAGCGCACGCATTACGCTGCACAAAGAGGGCACCTGTGTGTTACGGGGCTCATTTAATCTGTCTAATTCACCTTTTTTTTAATATCTCCTCCTCCTCTTCCTCCCACCCACCACCCTCTATCGTTCCCATAACTGGTAAATCATTCTAGAGGCTAAATCCGCGGCGGCGTGCCAACCCGCGTGTTTCCTGCTGTACACGTTGTGTGTGTGATTTGTGTGTGTTTGAGACACGGGCCTACTCAAGAAAGTCGCCGTCAAGAGCCAAGGTCGACTCACAAAAGGCGTTAACAAATCGGCGCGCCCGCATATAATTGCAATGAACTTATGATGGATGCATCGGGTGACGGAACAGAAGTTACGCATTTGCACGCCGTCGCCTTTTGACAGCGGACAACTGCACCGCAACAACAACAAAAAAATGTCGCCAAAACCGCCGTCGAAATTTTACCTCGCACAACGGCGGCGTCCTCACAAAGTCGCAAGCCGTCGATCGCGTCCCGACCGCGCAGCTCGTTACAGCCACCGACGGACACGAGCACCCACAACTACTAACACCACCAGCACCTCCTCCTATACGACTCCCCGTTGTCGTTTCCACCACCACGAGCCCACGGACTCCCGTTGTTAGCTAGCGCACAACACGATCTGTAATGCGCAACGGATTCACGAACCCCCCCTCCCTCTCCCCCACCTCCTCACTCCTCCTCCCCTCGTCACCCACTCACCCACCCACCAACCCACCCACCTCCGCCCGTCTCGCGCTTCCCGCCTTTTTTTTTGCCGTTGCTGCTGTGGGGTCGCCCGCGTCGAGGTCGTCTCGACCCCCCCCGTCACCCCCCCCCCACGGCACCCCCCCCCCACCAACCCCCCCAACCACCGCCCTCGTGGAGGCGAGGAACCCCAACGTCGACAGATCGTCGTCAACCGGGGCCTCGCTGGCCGCTGCGGCCGCTTGGTCCCTCTTACCTCTTCATAAACCGCTCCATCTCTTCACCCTCAACTACTCTACCTCCTCCACTACATCACCCGCTCCTCTACCTCCTCAACCGCTCCTCTACCTCATCCGCTCCTCTACCTCATCCACTCCTCTACCTCCTCGTCCGCTCCTCTACCTCCTCAACCGCTCCTCTACCTCCTCAACCGCTCCTCTACCTCCTCAACCGCTCCTCTACCTCCTCAACCACTCCTCATCCGCTCCTCTACCTCCTCAACCTCCTGAACCGCTCCTCTACCTCATCCACTCCTCTACCTCCTCAACCATTCCTCTACCTCCTCAACCGCTCCTCTACCTCCTCATCCACTCTACCTCCTCCTCAACCACTCCTCTACCTCCTCTTCAACCGCTCCTCCACTACCTCAACCGCTCCTCTACCTCCTCAACCACTCCTCTACCTCCTCATCCGCTCCTCTACCTCAACCGCTCCTCTACCTCCACAACCACTCCTGTACCTCATCCGCTCCTCAACCACTCCTCTACCTCCTCAACCACTCCTCTACCTCCTCAACCACTCCTCTACCTCCTCATC